CGAATTAGGAATATCCCGCGTTAAAATCTAGGCCTCTGGACAGAATATCTTGCCAGGAGAGTGCCTTAAATTTGGTTATGACCCGTTGCTCAATGGGCGAAATACAATCCCAGCTATTAATCACGTCGTTCAATCCAACAAATGAATATCTCTTTAGGTCAGACAGCGTAATTCGTGTCAGGTGGAAGAGACGAAATGAAAATATATTCAGTTGAGTCACATACCGACATATATCACTTATGTCCTCAGCAATTACATAACAGAAGGCTGTGGACGCACTTTCGGGCGGGGAGAGGGGAAATAGAAACAGGCACACGTATAGGCCGACACACGAGTACAAAAGAACGGCTTAGCTTGTTGCCTTGGTAACCCGGCCCTTTTTAACACGACAGATTACCATTTGTCCAATTTTTAACAGAGCTAAGTCTCTCATACCAATGTAATCCTCTTTCACATGAATTGTATGTTTTAAATGCTAACTACTTCAGCGGTTTACGCGATTAAACAGAAAGCTGACAAACAACAGATTACACGGCCTACGGATATAACATTGCTCCATTTCAAAATTGTCTTATTTACCTTTGTCACTCACGCATCTTCACAAAAGACGACACAGAGCGGAGAGGGCTGGTAATGATAAGCGTGCCTCGTATTCGGGAGGTCCCACATAAAAATGTCGGCTTACAGATCAGCTATTCTGACTGAGACTGTTCGTGGTTTTCCACGGTCACGCCACAAATGTCAGGATAGTACCATAAATTTACCACGACCAATTCGATCCATGGTCTTTGTTGTATAATTAATGTATTCGTTATATGTGTATTTATTTACATTATATTTAGATTATTTATTATTTAGTTATTCTTATTTATTAGACATTTAAACAGTAATTATTCGAAGACGGTCGTCTTCTGGTATGTTGCGTAGTGTGTTCTGGAACATACAAGCGTTTCAGGGCGCCTGGTGATGGAGCTAAAATTCTACCAGACTACGATCCCCAACAACCCAGAAGACAGCCATCTTCGGTTTCCATATCGTTCATTAAAATATGTTAAATATATACTAGTTTCGACTGTTATTGACTTGTTCTAAGCATATTTAACAACGCTCCCTAAAATGTAGAACTTACATAGTTCGAATGTGGTACAAAGATATTTTTCAAAGTGCGTATATAAGAATTTGGAAGGAGGTAATTTTGGCCTAATTGAGCGCGGACTACCATTACCACCATTCATCTGCAAAATATACAAGACATCAAAAAATCTGTCGTGACAGCCAGAAACCCAACAGCAACTCAAAGCGAATACTTTCAAACTCTCGCAGTGAACAAAACAATTGGTTATACCGTATCAGAGTTGAGATTTTCATGGCGCTAAGGTTGAGATTTTATGCTTCAGACTAATGAGACGGTATGTTGCGCCGAAATGCTTGTAAAGTCCTACAGACAGAACTACGCGGTTCCTCAAACTAGAATACAAAAATATAAACAGGACACATTCTGGACTTACAGGCGATTAACAAAAAACTTTGAGTCTAAAAGAGGATGTACATTATTCTTTATTCAAACAGCTCAAAATCTCACTTGAAATCGGACGTAATAAAATATCTACCATCTCCAATTCAACTTGTTATTCCCATAAATGGTAAACTTATATGTCCAAAACTCAGTTAATTCACATCTTTTTCAGAAGGAAATGGACTGACGATAGAAGCAACAAGGATCCAGTGAAACAAAAGTACGGAGAAGGACAGAATTCTACAAATCGCTCGTACGCGCAGAAGACAGCGACAATATACAACGCCCCTGGTGGTCGTGGAGAGAGAGAGAGAAACTGAAAGAAGATGCCTTTATTCCCTGTTATAAAACACTCAGGTTGCAGTGTCGAACTGGCTCTGACGGAATTGAAAGGCTCGCGGTCACAAGATGACTGCACACATCAGGGCAAATGTCCGATGCCTTCGAATGTTGTGCTGCAGTCCCGCACAACGTGAAAGAGAGACTTGTGCCGATCTCTGAAACGCTTGATGTGGAAATGGAGCGCTACCGTGTGGATGTTGTGCATTAACCAACTAAAAGCCGACTGCTGGTTTAATTGCAACGGCCTTTGTAAAAGACTGTAATGTGGTACAGTCACCTGCAGAAAAGAATGTACGGAATACGGCTCAGGAAATAGAAAGAAAGAAACGAGGTAAGATCACCTGCTGTAATACAAAAAAAAAGACTAATGTTCTCAAGTTAGAATATACGACGGTTGTTGTGAAGGACTACGTGACGAAACAATTGGAAGCCACTAAACTTTCATAATGCATAGGGCCCATTGTTACTTCTCTTTAATTTTGTAGAAAGTTGTTGCTTGATTTGATATTTTTTCCCTTCAGTGTTAAGCCTATATTTTAATATCGTATCGACTACAACATGTGACTGTAGTACCTTATCAGTAAACGGAGCTGCATTTTAGAGAGGGTAAGTATTTGTTTCTTTCACACAACCTTTAGACATTCGTCTGAGAGCAATCAGCAATTCGGTTATTATAATGTAAAATTCAGCATCCTATTAAACGAAATACAGGAAAAAGCTCTTCTTTGACGTTATTAAAATGACATTTCGACAGTAAGTGCCAACATAAATGGCACTAAAATGTAATGAAGCGGTTGTTTCGAACATGAAAGTTAATAAGCATACGTAATAACCACTTCATCGTGTTTTAGCCCCTGGTGATCGTGTATACTGTCGAAACATGCGAAAGTTAACCTATTAAGACTAGAAATCATCGCTTAATAAACTAACAATAAAATGTTTTAAGCAATATGCCTAATCAAACTGCATTATTTATAAGAACAACTTAATGCATTCTAAGAACCTGAGACTAGGTAAGATCATTTTACGCTCTTCAACCTCAGAAACAGTAGTCAAAGCACCCAAACATTGTGTACGAAAAGAATATAGATTTATGACGTGTTTGAGTCGTTCGTATGTTACGAGTATTTAATGGCGCTCTGCTGACTGTAGTCGTCGTTCAGCGTTGGATGAGACCACAGGATGCTCATTACAGTTAAAATAAAACGAGTGGAAATATTGCTGTGACTGGAGATGTAGAGGAGACCCACTGAAATACTAAGCTGGTTTGTGTTCTAATCAACACATGTACATAAAACGTAGGACTACAGATATCCTTGTGTCTAAGCGAAGTGCGGGTAAATAATGTAGTGTACTTAACCTCGGTAAAAATATCTCCTGGTGCCACTGGCCACAAGGTTATGGATTCCGCCACCGAAAAATCCCCATCACTGTCAGGAATAGAATTCAGATCGCCCAGTCCTTACTACGCATTTTACTGATTGACTCGTCCCGGCACCAAACCAGGTACAGTCCCCATTATGTGAACCTGCTGTCTCTAATTATTTAAATATTTCAAGCATTTTAGCTTCTCCGGTATCATCTTATATCGTAGTATAGAAGGAATCAACCAAGCGAACGGTAGAGGTGGCCAATCCAGCGCTGATGTCAGATAAATGGCTTACACAAACAAAAGTTAAACTGTATATAGTTTTCTAAATACAAAAGTTGATACATCTCGGAACACAGCTCAATCTGGCTATCTGCCTTCTTTCATCGCTCTCTTCCGACAAAGGGAAATAATTGTCATAGTCAATGAATAAGCAATTAATTATAATTCCGGTCCAAACAAGAATATAATATTGTTAGTTGTATTTTAGTTATGGCATTTAGAAAATGTTTGGACCCGATTAGTCACGTTATACTAGGGAGTTATGGGACTGTCTCAAAACATCCACAACAAGAAATGCTCAGATCTGTCAAAGCACACAGCACACCTTACGTCTTTCGCCCGACTGCTAAAAGCGACTTCCATTTTCTTAATTTGGTACGAGAAAGCTCAGCGACTGGCTACGGTCTGGGCGACTGGGGTTCGAGGGCAGAAAGGGACAGGCTTTATTCTCTTAGCCATCATGTCCAAGCCGACTCTGAGGTCCACCTAACACCCTAGCCAACAGACACGGCAGCTATTTCGCCGGGGATGAATAGGATAAAGCCCGAAGGTGATCACTCACCACCTCCAAATCAGAGGTCAATGCGTGGTTATACTTACGCTTTGCCGAAAATATTTGTTGCGAGATGCTTTAGTGTAGCCACAGCGTTATTGGTTGTGTTACATCCGATAAACTGATTTGGTTTTGTTGCGTAGATTCTCTAAATTATTACGAATGATGAGTTTGAAATGATACAGAATGTAGTAGTCGTGAGCTGTTTTAGAACAGCATCCCAAACTTTGCCTGGATGTTCTGAGGAATATCACAAAATCCTTCGTCTCTCGACAAAGTTTCGAAATTGATCCCCCCCACGAATACAAATCAAGATTTTTAATTAAGGCACCACGACTGTTAGCACATTTATCTCTATTTTATTAAACATAGATTTTAAGAGCTTTCTTCGGGGTTGCGAAAGTCCAGCTACACGTGACTTTCGTCCCATTCTCAGTCCGTTAAGTTAATAACAAAAATGATATCGTAACACAAATTAAACAAATTCTGCAAAAGCCAGAAATGAATGTTATGACGTAAGAAGCCACTCCTTATATGTACTTCTTAGACACCCCCCCCCCCACCTTCAGTAAAACCAACGTGTTAGTCATGCAAACCTTTGAGACAGTAATGACCGGAGTCAAAATTATTATCTATTATTAACTGCATGTACAGTTGGTCGGACTAGTGGAGTTTGCATCAAAACAATTAGTCGTGCCACACAACACTTTTGGCCTGAAAGATACAAAATGATACATAAGCTAAGCAGTGTGATGCATTTGTCTAATTTAGGATGACATGGTTGTTTCAGGTATTTGTCACAATTCGCGTTTCTTTTTATTAGAATTTCAAATTTTCAGAGTCCTATTTAGAATATTTCATTCCCTTTAATAGGAAATTAAATTTGTTTATTTACACGTGACAATAACAACAAGATGTGTAAGTGAGGGGTACAGTACCTATAGTTTGCAGCATTTTCCCCATCCAATCCACACCTTCCTGTGGTTGCTATGGAGATGTAACTTCGCGAGGGAGGAAGCTGTAACCATGACAACCAGCACCACGGGTATCGCTCCTCCCCCAGCACACGTGCTGCAACCAAAAGTGAGCTATGTAACTTAGTGACGTGTTTTATTTGGTCAAATAAAATACTTCACAGCCTAAAGAGTGAAACAGCTTTCGTTTACTCTGAATATATAAGAGAACACTTAGGTTAATCCTGAGGAATCTCGCGGGTTTTGTTGGTTCATATATGCAAATTCTGGGTTCGTAGCGTACAACACACTCTTCGTTAACACGTATTAATCCATTAATCATTTCTGTCCTGAACATCATCACATTCCTCGCAATCCATAGACTATACCGGGTGTGCACATAACAGACAGCAAGTTGGTGGCCAGCTCAACGTGAAGCCGCCTTAAGAACATGAGATATTAGTATTTAAATCAATTTCGAAACAGGGTCCAATACTCGTATATCAAACAATTGTGACACTAATGCCAGTAAATATCCGAAATGCAGTGTTTTTCATGTCATGCGATGCTCTTACGATCGGCTTTAAGTCGCCAGCTAATAAACAGAAAACCCCGAGTGATGTTCGTTCGTTCCTTCTGTCGTGCGGATGGATATGTCACGGACTTCGCACATCCGATGAACCTCCGATAATCGGCACGGCTGTAACTTACACCGTTTTGCCGCTCAATGAGGACTTGTCACAGAAAAACATTTCCTGTGTCTCGAAATTTTGTTGCCAATCGGTGTACTGTTGTTTTTTCGGCACTTTCTTGTCAGGATGCTTCAAGAAGAACAGCAAACGATTTCGATGCGAAGAAATAAAAGAGAATGAACACACGTTTTGCTCGTGAATACACCATCTTCGTATCTGCACGGCTTTTGCGCAACTAACAGGATCAGCGGCCTAGCAACTAGGAAGACCTTGATTCTAGTGTCACGGAAGAGGTTGGGAGAGAGTCTTACACAAGAGCGGGCCTGCTTCTAATTTAATTTTTGTATCGTGGGACGTGATCGTTCTGCATACCTCGTTGGGACTGATGCTAATTTATTGCTGACACAAATATTCACTCTTTATATCATTAAGCATGTAATACCATTTTTTTAAATTTTAAAAAAAGTTTCTCTAAAGTTTTGTGAACTCCTTTACTTCATCTAGCCTTATTTTCTTTGTAGTTGCTGTACCCCATCACCGTGCATACAACGTAATAATAAAATATTAAATAATATTTTATCTACTGAATCATATTATTTAAAAACAGTTTATGTATCTAATCTAGTGAAGAACTGTATGTAATATTTGAATACTTTGTAATGTAAGAAATTTGGGACATAAGTATGTGCGTAGACATAAATACAAAGATTTAAAACCAAAAGAAATTTATCTTTTAGGCACTGTCGAATCAGATAAGACTTCCGGTTCCCACAGAAGATAACGTTTTTCGTACTCCGTTGAAAATTGGCCAACAACTCATCGTTCGAATGACAAGGATAAGACCCTGTTGGCTGATCCGTTTAAAAACTAATTCTGAAGGGAACTTCTTTTAGGTATTTGAAAGGAGCATGACCTCGTCGCAAGTCCTGGACCTAAACGAGACAACACAACACAACAAAGAAAGAAAATTTGCATCCTTTCATGTCCCATGCGGAATACTAAACCACAAGCAATATTTCCCAGCGGTCCGAGGTCATATATTAACACTTTAAAATCCGGTGGGAACTGCATGTACTACCTGCTTCAACAATCAGGAGCTGTACATTTTGTATTTACGGATCTCTTACGATTGACGCAAAAAACAATTTATACTGAAATAGCGTTAACCAGATCTTTGTAATGATGTGTTATTTTCTCTGCAAAATGGATTCGACTGTTAAATATTATTTAGACGAGCTTCGGTTTAAGAGGGTTAAACATATTCTGTCACTAAAATTAGCCTTCAGATCGTGGGTTTCTGAGATATGACGCCGCGTGTTGGTTGCTAACGTTTCGAATGAACTTTCTCCCTCCATCTTCAGCATCCGGGGCAAAATGCCCCTCCGACACGTTGGTCACAACGTGCGAATCCACACGGTGACATTACTCATAGCACCACATTCCAAACGACCACCGCCGTGAAAATCTCAAATGCCATATAAACTAGCCTGTTGAATTTTTGCACTGTTCCACTCTTTCGATTTCTTTAATCCAAAAGAGTAATCGCTCCCATCAGAGAGAACAAAATGTTAATTCATATTATTATATAGGTAAAAAGATACATCAGATCCACTAATAAACACAACCCAATCAACTTGCATCACTAGTGCACTGAGGCTATTTGTGTAACTCGCCATGTGAAGGCGACTGGCGATGAATAATTCATCACAAATTGATTATGCATCTTTCTCCTGCAGGGGGCGCTGAATGGCTCACAGAGCTGCTGAAAGCTGGAGACCTGATACCATCACACGTCGTCCGGCGATGTACCAGGGGCTAAAGTGGCATTTAGGATAAACTTGCACACGGTAAGAGGAACAGACGAAAATCCCTGCGGTTTTTACCCGTAGGATAAGACGAAGTCCGGCGCAGTGTTCATTATTCAGCCAGTTTCTCCTTAAAAACAATACACACGCTAAACAAGACTTAACAGCACCAAACCAGTTTAGAATTTTTGGTTCCAGTTAGGTCACTTCATGAACAGTTTTTTATCTGCGCTGAATTCTAATTTTGCTGCAGAATAAGCCAAAAGTTTAGTCTATCCTGACTTAGCAAGAGGACTGGAACTGATACTCGAAATTAAGTTTTTGTTTTATGTTGAGGTAAATTTGTTGGGAGGTTATGCAAATGCAATAAAGAATATTGCACAGCATGTTGGACAGACCGATAAATTAGTTGTTCGATTAGTAAATAAAAGTTAAGAAAACTAAATACATATAACGATAAATTTGTATCGTGTCATTCCGTGAGGTATCAATACAAACGACGATTTGTACCAATAATCACTTTTCGCAAATTGATTATTATTAAAACAGAATAAAATATTAAAACCAGACGCATTTGGGTTTAAGGAGCCAAGATCACATCGTACAGCGAATCGATAACTAAACAAACCCTGCCATTACACTCCACGGCACGACGAACAGGAAAAACCACCAAACTCCATATAATTACCTGTTTAACTAACGTAGCTCCTTCGTTCACTGGTGATGGCCTCTTAGGTCGAAACGCGTCTAATTTTAATAGGTTTAATCTAATTTAATAATAACTCGTCCGTAAAAAAGTGTTTTGTTACAGAGGTTTGTTTATACATTCTCAGATAATGTTTAAGAACTTGATGCCTGGCTTATCTGGAAAGAACAATAACAAAAAAAATATTCATTATGAAATTAGAAGCAGGATTATTAATTCCAAAAATTGTCAACATCCCGTGTACTTTTCAAACCCTGGAGATTATGATATAACATTAATAACAATAATTGTGCCTGTTAGGTCTACTTTTTATGAGCGTATAACATCTCTTACTTTGAGGTAAGAACACACAGTAAATTACAAATTTTAAAAAAAGAAAATGCTCTTGAAAATATTTGGACCTCATAAAGATCCGTTGAATTTGTTTGTGAATCTTGTTAGTAAGTTATCCTTGAGATGTATGCAGGTCTCTCAAGATTTATCCTGCCTTGAGACTTCCTATCCATAATATCGTAGCCTAGTTCTCAATTTCATAAATGTGGGGCAAGTCCCAAAACATTCATCTGCCTTTGTTCAATCTCTGCAATTATATTAAGTGAAACAAAAAAAATTATGAAACTCCTACAACGTCTAACACCATTTGTGTGGCAATATAAAGCGTAGAGTTTTCACAATGTAAAAATTGTCTGCAATCGCCAAGCAGAAGGACCAGCGCTTGTCTGCTGTACACAACCTACGGACACGTCGTTTCGTGGCGACAAAGGCTAGAAATTAAACAGAAACAGATAAAGAAGATTCCTGTAAGATTTGAGGTTTTATCAGCGGTGAGTATGAAGATTTCTGTCTTCTGAGTTGTTGCGCTGTGTAGTCTGGTCGATGTTAACCAACGTTTCTGAGGTCATACTGCCTCCGTCATCAGGGCGATTCAGAGTACACAGCTCAACAACCCAGAAGACAGAAATCTTCATACTCACCGCTGTGAAAACCTCAAATCTTACACAGAAACAGATAAAATTTGAAGTGGATGGTAAGATGGAAGCAGTACAGTTGAGACGAATTGGTCTGCTTTCATTTGCATCTAATAAACATAAATTTCAGTTCCTCCTGCTTGTTCACAATCTATACAATTGTTAGGCCCCATCTCATAAAATCCTCACAAATGCATAATAAAAGACGAATACCTTTTCAATAATGTGGGATTCACTCCAAAAGCGCCCTAAAGGTCGGCGTGAATGATACCTTCAAACCGTGTAATTCCTGTAAAAGAAATCTTGCTTGCAGAATGGCAAACAACTTGGAAGTACTTTAAAAATCAAGTGGAACGAATCGATTGTATTCGTCACTTTTGAGAGGTTGACCCATACTTTCTTTCTCCTCAGCAAAATGGCTTGTTAATTTCATCCCATTTGTTAAATGTCAGCCTGGCAATATATCTGTCATGGCAGGTACACAGTAATTTGTAAAAGCCCCCGCTGAACGGTTTTCAGAAAGGTTTCAGAGCGAGGGGCGAAACGGGTAGAACAAAAACTGTTCCACGGGCTAGAATGTGTATAGAATGTGTAAGAAAGTATGTTCGGTCATGAAAAGATTCATAGTGTTGAGTTGCGGAAAAATGCGTGTGGGTGAAAACTATCACTTCGACTATTCTACACAATACGAAGTGTTTCATCGGCGACTAGTCGTAGGAAATTTCCCTTCTGCCTACCTACCCACATTCGTCCATCAATCGGATTAGGCCTGTCTATTTATCAATGTCTATTTCTCTTATATAATTTCTTGTAATATTTTACTACCATTGAAAAACAATTTTTTTTCCTACTCTGGAAAAGATTAGGCCTAATGGAAGTATAAATGTTTCGTCTTTCCTCTCTGGAGAGCTTAAGCTTAAGAAAACAACACAAGCCTACATTGTATG